CTTATCCTTCTTTCTCTCTGCTTACTTTTCCAGCCACCACGTCGTCGAAGAAGGCAGAGGAAGAGAGAGATTTCTTGTGCACCAACTCATTTGAATCTCCTCCTTGAGCTTCTTGTATGGAGAGCTTCGTCATTCTTGAGAGAGAAGCATGGGTGTCTTGTCTCTTTTTAAGGAGAGCTTCTTCTCAAACTTTGTCGGAGATCAAGCACCCTTCACGCTGGTGAGATTCTAAAAAACCCTTGCATTTTCTTTCTTAATAAGCCCTTGGGATAGATTTTTCTAGGTGTTATGGGTGGGTTTCATTGCCCAGACGAGGTAAGTTTGACCGACCACCCGGTATCATCCAACTCAATCGATCAACCATTATCGAACAATTTGATGGGTCAAATAATATCGATCAACCCAACCATACGCCTTTTGATTGACCAATTTTGTGGTGCAGTGATGGGTTTTGGTCTTCCATGTTATGCAAGTTGGTCATCCAACACTAATCGACATGGTCATACGCTTATTGATTGGCTAGTTTTATCTTAGCGAAAGCCCTAGGTTAGGACATTACATTTGTGGCAAAGTCCTTAGCAAGGCCAAGAGTGTTTCCTTGCAAGCCTTAGCCTCAACATGAGCGTTTTGGAATTCCAACATCCCATAGCTATAGTGGTATCTAATCTTGTGGGGAGATTAGAACATTGCACTTTCAAAACGAGAAAAGTTTTCTAGCCATTCTGTTTTGCAAGAGGTGGAGAATCGTTCATCTGAGCAATCGAGAGGAAAAATTCTCTGCACTTACTTATTGCTTTTGGTTTTTTTTAAGGACTAAGAGTCACCAGCTTGTCAATTTATATGTTGTTATATTATTCTTCTCTTCGACTAAATCTCCCTCTCATATCATACAAATGATTCAAATAGAATAAAATAATAATAATAATAAATATATAAAACAATAAACATGCAAAAAAAATTAAAAAAACATGGAAGGCATATATAGGGGTAATCCTCGTACGATAAGTTAAGAGTATAAACTCAGACAAAATAGGTTTGAAATACTTTAAAAACCAATATCCACGAAAAAGATCCCTACATAAGACAACCATAACCAGATGATCAAAATAATTTTTTTTTTGGGTCAAGAGCCTCCCAAAGAGGTGTATTCATTCAATTAATTACAGTTTAGAGGAGACTCAAGAATAATCTTGATAAAAGAAGTATCACTTGCATGATCATCAACCTAAAAAACAGATCATCAAAGGATGATTATTTTGTATGGGAATGCCTGACGCTTTCAAAGTTCTCGCTGAGCCATAAGGAGAGAGTAAGTCTCTCACATTCCAAATTGGTAGCGACTTATTGGCATCATAACCTATGAAATACCCAAAATCATCTTGACGGGGATATCCCTATACATCAGATCTTATCGGACCATAAGGCCAAATGATGAATCATTGTATCACAAATGGGCCACATCTTATCGATAATCGAGCCATCAATATGATATCAGCAAAGTCAAATGAGCGGCAGAGCTCAAAGGTGCTCAGTAAGAGGAAGTATAAAGTAATCCTAAAAGATATATGTAGTTGTGTTGGGGTACCACAAACCCGTCATCTCAAGCTACTATAAAATTAAGTCTACCTGGTCGTGAAGGTAGTCGACCCAACATGTCCAGAGATTCCCAGTCAGCAATTTATGAATTGCGTCGTCCACGGGAAACTTTGGTAGCCCTAAGTTTAAAAGAAGTAAATTCTAGTCAAATGACCTGCAATATGGAGCTCAATGGATTGGAATAATGCTCCCCAAGCAGATGACAAAGTTGCCTCAAGAAAGAAATGAAAGAAGACGTCCAGCTACAAAGTTGTAAACACTCGGGAGTCAGTGTGTCGAGGAGGTAGTGACTCAAAGAATGGGTGTGTCGAGTTGGCAGTGACTTGGGATTTAGTGTGTCGAGTTGGCAGTGACTTGGGATTGAGTGTTTCCAGAAGGCAATGACTCCATATTGACTGTGCGAGGACCAATGATTTGGGATTGGGTCTGTCGATGATTCAGTGACCCGGGATTTATTGTATCGAGGAAGTAGTGACTTAGGGGTGTGTTTGCCGAGGAGACATTGACTCAAGTGTAAATCACAAACACATGAAATGAAAACGTACAACATGTAAGTATGGGCAAACATGCATGGGTATAAATAGAAGTGCAAACATACATGATGTTAGTGCATCATGAGAAGAAGATGTCACGGGGCAGGCATGTAAAGTTCGTGCCAAAGAGGGGCATAAACGCTCGCCACGAGCATATGGAGCATATGCTTCTGGATGCATAATATGGTGTGTGGTGCGAATATGTTCATGCAAGCAGTATGAGAAGACCATGCAATTATGTGACATTCAGGTGGAGTCAATCAATCCAATCGAACTGGTGGAGGTTGATTGGTTGAGTCGATGGAAGAGCTCGATCGGGGTGGTGTGGGTGGACAATCGAAGAAGAAGGGTTAGTTGAACCGATCAAATTGGTGGAGGTCGATTGATCAAACCAACAAAGAATGTCGATCAAGTTGACATGATTGGCAGTCAATCAATTGAATCGATGGGGATGGTCGATTGGGTCGACACGAATTAAGAACATGGAGGAGGGTCGATTGATGTGATCGAGTAGGAGGCGATATATCAATTGGGAAGACCAAATGTGGTCGATCGAGTCAATGTGGGCAGATAATCAATCGAAAGAACCAAAGGTGGTTGATGATTGATGTTATCGGACCAAAGTGCATGACCAATTGATAGAAAAATATTTGTTGAACCAATCAAACTAGTGGCGGCCTATCGGTCGAGCAAACAAAAGTGGTTGATGAAGCCGACTTGGGCAACCTTGTTGATGGAAAAGGGTTGATTGAACCGATTAGACCGATAGTGATCGATCGGTGTAGCCAACGAAATAGGTCAATGGATTGGCTTGGACGACCGATCAAAAAACATGTAAAATGAGTATTTTTGATGCAATTTTAAAATCATGTCATGCGCACAGTCATATGAATACAAAAACATGCATGAAATGGATATTCAGTTGTGCTTGACGATGAAACCGAACTCATTCTAATGTTCTCACTAGAAACCTAGGGTAAGCGAGCGATGGAGAGTTGTACCAACACCTTATTGTAAGAACCAACGGGATGCCCACCTCCGTTTGCACGACACAAGTTGAGGAATCTCTCACGAAGAGGATTCTCCTTGACTAAGAAGGCAAAAACCAATGGAATGGCTTCATTTTCTTGGTTGGTAGGTTTCAAGTGTTCATTTGAATGAAACAACCAATGCAAACGGCTGGATTGATACAATCCGTCTTTAGATTTTTTGGGCTAAAAACAAAATGGGTAGGTTTTGTTCTTTAGATTCATGGGGGATCACAAAGCTCCTAATTCTATGAGATTTCCTCTAAGCACAAACAAACCTAACCTAAAAGCTTTAACATCCATAACTAGGGGCCCTAAGAAAGGAAATCACAAGAGTTTATGAGCTGTCTCACCACCGCGAAAGTTGCGGACGCGTTCTCTTTGCTTATCATTGCTTTGATGTTGCTCTGACAAAGTTTCAATGAAGCTCCGACAAGGTTCACTCCACTCCTTCGCCAAAATATGAAAATGCTCTTCTCTATAAAGAGAGTTCAGTGAGTTTATGACAAAATTCTGAGCTCCGACAAAGTTCCGGTGAGGTTCACTCAACTCCTTCCCCAAAGGATGAAGAAGCTCTCCTTCACCGTAGGAGAGTCGATGCTTTGCTTCTTTGTTAGCAACTCCTTCTAAAAAAATCTCCTTACACACTCAAGGAAAGTTGTGGAGAAAAATGAAGGAGATGAGGAAGAAGAGTGCTTTTAGAAAATGAAGAAGAAGAAAAAGAAGATGAAGATTGTAGGAAGTCAAGCCTTCTTCCTTTCTTTTTCTCAAGCTCTTCATCACTAGGAAGCTCCCAAGCTTTTTCTCCAGCAAGAAGAGGAAGAAGAAGCTCTCTCTAGGATGTCGAAATGCTGGAACCACTTTCTCCAGCATGAAGAGGAATAAGAGTTCCTTTGAACAAGGAGAATCCACAGTTTTCTCCCGCAAGAAGAGGGAGAAGAGCTCTTTTAGCCACGAGAGTTTGCATATAGATATTTCATGGTCTCTGAACAACAAAATGGACATCAAGCATGTCTCATATTATGTATGATGCCACCCAATGTTGGATTCTCTCGGGTAAGGTCAAAACATTGTAGACCCTGACTTTGTGCCCAAACACGCATCAGGGGGTCTAGACGGATGTCTTGAGGTGTGAGACACTATGAATGAATAATAAATAATTCTGAGTCATATGATCCTACACAAGTGACATCAAAATTTGTCACCAATACTCACCACCGCGACCTACGTGACCAACTACAACTTACTTGATTCACAGCTCGCACAACTTCTAACTCTGGCTCTCATGGTCTATGAACGTCGCCACAGCTCACCACTATGGACTACAAGACCATCTACAACCTATGTGGTTCACAGTTCGAGTTGCTCCCTTCTCTAGCCCCAGTGACATAGTGACATCATCACAGCTCACCGCCATAGTCTACATGTCCAACTACGACCTACATGGTTCATAACTCATGTTGCTCACAGCTCATCACTACAACTTATGTAACCAACTACTATCTAAATGGTTCACACTCTAGGCCAAGTGACTTGTGTATTGCAAACAATCCACACTGAACTTCATTTTCAGCGAATCAAACAACCACTTAAATTGTATATAACCTAAAATCTATGTTTTTCAATTCATTAACATAAATAAAATATGGGGCATTTACATGACCACAATTCATATGTATTTATTATTTACATATCTCACATATTTTCAATTTATTATTTTGCGCCACCAACTTGTACGGGCGTCACTGGCCTCGCGAATATACTTTGGAATATAGATCGTTGCCTTTAATAACCGACTAACTAATTCTCCACATAGGGAATTAAGTTAACAGCCGTTGTTTTCACCTTGCATCGCACCACGCGCAACCCTCATCCTTCCCGATGACGAACCCGCATCGGGGTCCGCAAGAAAGGGGAAGGTCCCTTTCTGAAGTCAACTTTTTCGGTCGAAGAAAAGTTAGCTTCCTTTAACGTCCAGCTTCTCTGTTCGTCTAATATTTCTTCGAAAAGTAAACGAGAAGATGAGCACGACGGCGAAGCGGTTTGATTGAATGCGCGGCGATTCTTCTTCATTTTCTCTCTAAAACTTCATCTTCTGGAAGAAGGGAATAAGCGATCCGTGGTTCTCAAGTATCTGCTAGTTATTTTCCTTTGAGGCAGTGAGCAGGCCTCGAAGCGGGTGCGATTTTGGGTTTCTGACCTCAAGGAGGTGAAGATTAGCGACATTGGAAGATTGGGGATTTTCTTTAGTTTCTTGTTTGAATTGATCGTTTCCTGACTTGGATATATTGGCATTAATGTTGGATTCGTACGGGTTGAGGTAATTTTTTTTTTTTTTGAAATAAGACTCAGATCCTGGGTTTATTTTTCTTCTCCTTTTTGAGTTTTCCTGTGCAATGCCGCCTTGTATTTGTACTTATGTTCGTGATATTCTTGTTGATATGGGAAACTTGGCTTTTAGCGTCCTTCTGCTACTTAGAGGTTCTATGGACGTTTTTATTCTTGGTTTGTGCATCGATGCTGATGGGTTTGATTTTTGGTAGGTCTTTACAGCAATTGTAAGAGATCTTGTTGGTGTTCGTTTGTTTTATATTGGATACGAATGTTTTCTTTCCCAGCTGGCTTAACATGTGGGAAAGGCTACGGATCCATGGTGTTAGATCCGATGTTGTATGTAGACTTATAAAGAGACTGAGAAAGACTTGCAGATTCTCTCTAAGGAGTTTATTTTGCAGTGGTCCCAAATGTGAGATAGAGTTTGAGAGAATCTTGGAGAGATTTTAGTTAGATATGTTAGTGTGGAGCCCGATCCCGTCCCGCCGCCCGTTTGGCGAATCGGCACCATCGCTCCCGCCCCCAATCACGAAAAGTCACTATCCCGTTTTCCCTCTATCGTGATGCCTGTTCCCGCTCCTCCCGCCTCTACAGTCGTTGCTTCATTTCTGTTGTTAAAAGGTTCGCTCGGCTCTCATTTAGTGCTAAGTTATAGTGCAACCCAATTGAGTTCTTCTCCGGACTTACACGAGACAGTGGAAGGGCGCAAAATAGAGGAATAAAAGTGCAAGCAGTGCGCGTGCCTTGCAAAGGAAGAAAGAAGGAAGAAGAAAAAAGATTGTTCTCTCTTGACTTCTTCTTGGTGGCTTGTGCCAGAAGATAAATTGAGTTTATTTCTCTTATAAGTTTATCTTCTTCGGTGTATCTCGGCGTAGAGAGAGAAGAACAAAGAGCAACAAAGTGAAAGATTCCTCTTGTAAGTCGAGACGATGGATTTGTGTAAATTCCTCAAGTAGTAAAATCCTTTGCAACTCCGTGGACGTAGGCTATTTGTCGAACCACGTAAATCTATGTGTTCCGCTGTGTTACTATTTTCTGGTGTGAATTTCCTCGTTCTATTTTTCGTTTTCATCAAAGTTCGTTCTCCTACTTTATTTTATATATACCACAATAATTGGTTTATATTCTAAAACAACTAGTATCAGAGCTTTTTTTGGATCTAAGGAAGAATGATTACTGTAGATGAAGTGAAGGTTTCAGGGATCGAGAAATTTGATGACACAGATTATGACACAGATTTTGGTTACTTTTGGTTACTGGAGGATGCAAATAGAGGACTATCTCTATGGGAAGAAACTTTATCTTCCGTTATTGGGGAAAAGACCTGAATGGATGGATGAGACAGAATGAAATTTGTTGGATCGACAAGTTCTGGGGGTTATTCGATTGACCCTATCGAGGTCCGTTGCATACATTGTCGTCAAGAAAAGGACGACTGCAGATCTCATGACAGTCTTATTATATATGTATGAAAAACAATCGGCGAATAACAAGGTATACTTGATGAATAAGTTATTTAATTTAAAGATGACGGAAGGTGTTTCTATTGCTCAACACCTGAATTATTTCAATACTATCCCAAATTAATTGTCGTCTGTTGAAATTGATTTTGATGATGAGATACGTGCGCTGATATTGTTGGAATCGTTGCCAAATAGTTGGGAAGCCATGAGGATGATAGTTAACAGTTCTGTAGGTAAATCTAAACTGAAATATGATGATATTCGTGATTTGATTTTGGCTGAGGAAGTGCGCAGAAAAGACTGGCGAGATTTCAGTTTGAATTTGACACTGAATGTTGATTTCAGAAGAAGATGACAAGACAAACTTAAATAAAAAGAGATCAAAATCAAAGTCTGGTCAGCATGCAACCTGCTGGAATTGTGGCAAGGCTGGGCACATAAAGAATAACTGCAGGAATCCTAAGAAGATGGAGAATTATAGCACAAATGTGGTATCTGAAGAAGTACATGATGCACTATTGTTGACAGTTCATAGTTCTGTTGATGATAAAAGTGAAGAGGAGAGTGAGTCCGGGACACTCATTCCTATTGTTCCATTGACAGATGGTGGAGAACCGAGAACCACAAAGCTATAACCACAAAGCTATAAAGAAATCTTGCAAGATAAAAGTTCGAGCAAGTGGGAGCTGACAGAACTTCCTCCAGGGAAGAAGATATTGCACAACAAATATGTGTACCAGGTGAAGACTGAGCGCGATGATAGTAAAAAGTACAAGGCTAGACTTGTTGGAAAAGACTTTCAGCAGAGGTAAGATATTGTCCATGCTGTGAGAGTTGTAAGCAGAGACAAAAGTAATCCAGGAAATAGCTTGGAGGTGCAAGATTATTTGGATCCTGCTGATGTGTTGACTGAGGGTGTTACTCTTGAGAATCTGAAGTTATGCACAACTTCAGTTGGTCTTCTGGAGTAAGGACAGAAGCTTTGAGTTGCAGAGGTAGAGGATTCATGTTTGAAAAAAAAGTCGACGCTGTCAGTAGAGGATTTCAGTTTGAGGAAGAAAATGTTGAAGCCAGTGTATCGATCCCCAAGTGAGAGATTTGTTGGTGTGAAGCCCGATCCCATCCCGCCTCCCGTTTCGCTAATCGGTGCATCGCTCCCGTGCCCGATCGCGAAAAGTCACGATCCCGTTTTCCCTCTGTCGGGATAGCTGTTCCCGCTCCTCCCGCCTCCACAATCACGAAATGAAGCGTTGCTTCGTTTCTGTTGTTTCGCGATAAAAGGTTCGCGCGGCTCTCTTTTAGTGCTAAGTTACAGTGCAACCCATTTGAGTTCTTCTTCGGACTTCTACGGGACAGTGGAAGGGCTTCCTCGGGATAGAGGAAGAGAAGTGCAAGCAGTGTGCGTGCTTTCCAAAGGAAGAAAGAAAGAAGAAAAAAGAAGAAAAAAGAAATTGTTCTCTCTTGGCTTCTTCTTGGTGGCTTGTGACAGAAGAGAAATTTGGTTTATTTCTCTTGCAAGTTTGTCTTTTTCGGTGTATCTCGGTGTAGAGAGAGAATAACAGAGAGAGAAGAAGAGAGAGAAACGAAGTGAGAGATTCTTCTTATAAGTCGAGATGATCGACTGGTGTAAATTCCTCAAAATAGTAAAATCCTCTGCAACTCCGTGGATGTAGAAAATTTGTCGAACCACGTAAATCTGTGTGTTCCGCTGTGTTATTATTTTTTGGTGTGAACTTTCTCGTTCTATTTTTTGTTTTCATCAAAGATCGTTCTCCTAGATTTCTTAAACTACAAAAACTGGTATATATCTCGCAACAAGATATAGTTCTGGCCAATAATATTGGATTTCAGCCTAGATTTCTTAAGGCACAAAATTTTTATATGCCTATGCATGACTTTTGAACCCTTATTTATAGGCAATACTATTTGTGTTACATTGCCTTTTATATTAATTAACAATAGGGGCTTAATCTTATGGGAAATCTTGAACCTCATATCTTAAAATTCTTGTAAAATAAGGATGAAATCTTTGGGCGTTGTCTTATCCGCAATCTAACTTGTCTTCTGAAAACTTGGCTTGAAACAATACAAAACTCTCAACTTGAGTTAGTGGCACAAAGTTTTGGAGTCCACATTGAGTACCTCCCTTCTTGATGTTGATGAGGAAAATAATTTTATTTTTAAGAGTAGGAAACCGATGAAGAATGATGATTTGTTTTTGAGGTTGTGTACGAGGAGACAAGGAGTTTATCCATCATAAACTCTATTCCCTCTATCTATGACTTTGAAGATGTTAACTTCTTATTTACATCCAGTGACTGAGTGAGCCTCTGTGGCAATCTTCTTAACCACTTGTATCAATGAGGCTATCATTGGTCTAGCTTTAGGGTTAACGTCCCATATTGAGGGAAATACATGGCTATCACCATTGAAGTCAACCCCACTCTTAGCTAGGGTGCCAACTTCATAAAGAGCCAAATGCATAGTGATCTCGAAGGGTTGAAGTGACAAGGAAAGTGACCCAAGTGAATAAATCCAAGGGGTTTATTTATTATGCAGTTGTGCATACAAATGTTTGGTGTTTGCAAGTTTGCTTCCGTCTAGTGAGAAGCCACTATAGATTATTATGCAGAGTTTGAGTTCTATACCATAACCAATGATAAGGAAAACTTAGAAGTTCCTGCTATAAGGAGTAAGTTATTTTACAATTGAATATTAAGGTTGAAGAAGACATGTCTATTTTGATTGACAAATTGTGCGACAAAACTTTCCTTCTCATAGCCACCAACTAAATGGATACATCATTATGATGAGGTGAGTTTGAGTTTCAGTATTGAGTTTTGAGCTGCAACAAAATTTTGAGAAATGAAAGAATTTTGGAGCTCCATAACGCTATCAATAATCTGGAGTCTTCCCTGACTGAGTTTGAATCCAATAAGGAAAACTTAAAAGTTTCTACTATAAGGAGTGAGTTATTTTACAATTGAATATTAAGGTTGAAGAAGACATGTCTATTTTGATTGACAAATTGTGCGACAAAACTTTCCTTCTCATAGCCACCAACTAAATGGATACATCATTATGATGAGGTGAGTTTGAGTTTCAGTATTGAGTTTTGAGCTGCAACAAAATTTTGAGAAATGAAAGAATTTTGGAGCTCCATAACGCTATCAATAATCTGGAGTCTTCCCTGACTGAGTTTGAATCCAATAAGAATAGGACCTATACACTTAACAATTGTTGGCGTGCAATGCTTGGTTATCTAAGGGTGCGTTTGTTTCGGTTTTTTGAACTGAGTTTTGAACCAACATGAGGTTTAAAGGTATTTGGCTCTTTTGCTTTTGATGACCTGGTCCAAAACCATGTTTGCGAATGAATAGTATTTGTGACCGTGGGTGCTGGTGTGCCTCCCACGGTTCACGAATAAAGATTCTCATATCTATCCTTCCTTGATTTTCCTTTCGCTCCCTTCGTCCCCTCCGTTCTCTTTTTTCCTCGTACCATACCCCTTCGCTCCCTTTTG